TTTGTGATGGTTTGCTAGATTTTGATTTAAGAATGCTTGGCAGAGCCGGAGGGCTTCCTGTGGGTAATTTCACCTGCTGAGAAACTTCACTCTTTGCCACTCCAGCTGTTTTAATTCTGGAATATTGGCAACTCAGAAAAATGCTTTTCTCCTGAGGTTTCACACCTTGTCCTTGCCTTTTCTTATAAGAAATTGGATTAAAGAGTGAAAAGTTCCTCAAAATACACCAATAATGTTGTTATTTAAAAATAGTGTTACAAACCATGCCCTTTTTTCCTGTGACAGGAGAACTTACCTGTGCTTACAGAAGACACTACTAACAGAAAAAAAACGAAGCTTTCAGCCAGATTCTTGGAGGTAGGTAGAGCCATTCTTCACGATTTCTCTAGGTAGATACTTCGGATACCTGCAAAGACAGAACATCAAGAAAATGCGTCTTTATTTTTTTCTGACTCACACAAAAATCATTCCCTGCACAGAGCAATGTCATAGCCAGCTCTATGACATCCCACTTCCACTCCCATTCAGCTCAGTGACTAACACCTTCGTGCTGCTTAGGGACCGATCCAAGCAGAGCAAGAAGCCAAGGGCAGCTTCTCACCTTTTGGTTTAGGATAAACCCACTTGGCAATCCAAATAGACACTCAGAAAGCAACCACCAAAAGTAACTAAAAAACACCTTAGGAATGCAATATAAACACATAAAGCTTCAAGACTCTCTAGAGCTGACTATTCACAAGTGCAAAAAAGTAATGAAACACAATGGAGAATGGCAGGGTGACAAGTCTGCGAGGAGGAACATCTCAGTGGCACTTTCCTTCCCCCTTACTACTGACACAATTTTAGCAAGTGATTTTAGCACACCCCCAAGCAAAAATTTTAGTGAAACTTTCAGACTGAAGCATGCAGTTTTTCAGATTTCAGATCCAAATAAACATCATCTGTTTAATCTGCCAGCCTATAATTTTGTTGCAAAACCCAAGATTGCTTTTGAAACCAGTCTACCCAATATTGTTTTATTTCTTGTGTAGGCAAACCCAGGCAAAAACAAACAAGTAGCGACAGGAAAGTCTAAGTTAAAATTAACACAATTCTCTCCAGCAGGCCTGAGCAATTGATTCTGTAACTCATGGCAATGTACTGACACGCGTGGTCACGCTGAGATATGAAGACCCACTGCTATAGATGTCCAGTGCTCTACTTAAAAGCATTATTTAAAACTCATGCACAGTCCGTGGAACTGTTAGGTTTTATCATGTAGGCCAATGCTGGTAGAACATTAAAATGTATTTGTAGCTGCCATGTCACATCAGTGATGAAATACGAGAAATGTATGCATCACAAAGCTTAGACGCCAAAAAAGCAATCAAAAGAAATCCAGGGTGCTCCAGTTTCTTCAGGGCAATGGAAAAAAAAAAAAAAAAAAAAAAGCACGTGTTATTTTTCAGGTCACTTGTTAATATAAAACAAACAAAAACATGTGAATAAGATATGCAAGAAACCGGAGTTTAGTCTGGAACAAATTTTACAGTGTAGATATGCAGAACATATGTCTGTACTCTTCTCTTCCTAGAGGTGATGCAGCTTGAAGTACAGTGGTACATTCAAAACACATGTAATCCAGTGACTGTATTAAAAATAGCATTTGAACCAAATTTGTCAGGAAACATTCCAGCAGGAAAATGTTTGCTTATTTTGGTATGGCGTAATTGACAGCCATGTGCTTGGTCACAGCATAGACATGGCACAGCCTGTCAGGTGCTGAAATGCTGTTAGAGAGCAGTAGAAAAGAGGAATGCACTTAGTAACGCTATAACTTTAAATGATATACATTATCAGAGAGCAATAACATGGCCATGGAATTTGTGCCAGAACCAGGCTGCACGTGTCTGACATTTTAACAGCACTTACCATCAACATACGATAAGCCAGGGCTCTGTTAGAGGAGCACTGTTAGTGGTACGCCCAGTGTACAGCAGTCACCATGAAAATGTCAAGGTTTATTAGCGATTACTACACAGCGTAATCTGCAAATACAATCACTAAATTCTGCTTTAACGACAGAGGAAAGCTGAACGACGGCTCAGATCGCAGGATGGTTATTGCAGACAAACAGCGGTCCTTACGGTGCAGGCGCAGCTGCACAAAGCCAGGTACCCGCTGGTAAGCTCCGGGTCATAAAAATCAGATGATATTCACAGAAATTTAAAAGAGACTGTAGTTTTGACAGTGATGGCATGCATCTGCTTGCCTGCTGCTTTGTAGGAAGTAAAGAAATGGCTTGGCCCTGGCCCATTAAAAACTGCATGCCCTTAGGAGCGTCTCTGCTAGAAGAGAGCAATAGACCTCGCAGTGCACAACAGCAACCTGTAGCAAACTTGCAGGAAAATAACAAATCTGACAGACTTCACTTTGTAGAAAGCCAAGAATGGCACAGTACTTACCACCAGGTTGTGCAAGATGGCTGTTGCTTTTATATCCCCACTTGCTCCCAGGGGGCTGCTTCCCTGATTACATCCATCCTCATCAAGGGAGAGCAAAACAAGCAATCACACACTGAAAATTCTTGTCGTGTTTGGAGGCACCGGTTGTACACAAGGCTCCAATATTTTTCTACTGTCTGATCTGCTACAGCTTAAAGAACACCCTGCTTATTTTGTGGCTGCAGCAGGGTGTTTGATTCAGCTTTCCATGAGCCCAAGTTCATTGCAATGTTAGTATTAACTGGCACTCAGGTTGGAAAGGCTGGGAGCTGAGAGGGCCAAGGAGAACAGCTTCTTCTGCGAGCGCTGACTCCTCTGATTCAGCTCTGACTAACGTGGTGTCAGTAAAGTGTGGTTTGGAGGACAATCATCCCAGGAATTTTCCGTCAAAAGCACTCAGCTAAGCATCTTCCCCAGACACAAACAGGGACATGTTTGATTTTACTCTGAGAGGAGGAAGGGGTAGTGACTCTTTCCATTAATGTCACCTGCTGGAGAGGGTTCAGGAGCAGCTCTCTGCTGCCAGCCAGCCGGTTCCATCGCTCGCTGCTCAGAGCCGCATGGGAACACAGTGGCTGCACTGCATCGCACTTGAACGGGCGCCACGTCGCTGAGTTCAGCTCTGATGTAACCCACTCTGTCAACAAATCTCCCCGCGGATTTGGGCATTCTGAAAGCCTAAGGGCCATGTGAGCGTCCTGCTCAGTCTATCATCTCCAGTGTTTCTCAAACACCATCTGTGACACCTCTCTTGGGTGAGAAAAGCTCTTTCATCTGGCCATTAAAAGCTGCCTGGCAATGGCCAGTGGGACTCATATCCCTGGATCTGGCAAGGCAGACGTTCTGAAATGATTCCCAGCTGCTGGATCTTTCCAAATAGTGAACAATAGCAGCAGACAATGCTAAAAGTAGATACAGGAAACCGTTAGTCCCCAGCTGGCTGCTACTGCAGGTGTCAGCAGCGATACTGTACTAGAAAGCACACTGTGTAGACAGGAATCCCCATCCACATCACTCCATGCAGTTTAAATGCTGGAGGCAACACAGAGCAGACAGCCCTGGGGGTAAAAAAGTACAAATGCTCCAAGGAATTTGGGTTGTTCAAGGATTTGTGGTAGGGTCCTCTGGACACTCCAATGCCCAGATGGCAGAGCTGAGCACTCCAGGGTGGCCTCAGCACCTTGCATGGCCAGGGAACAACCAGCCAAGCCTCTAAACAGAATTTAAAGCAAGTAACTCCTGATATGGGGTATTTTAAGATGCTTTTTAAAACTAGCTTGATGGCTCCTACCTGGTATGTCCACCAGGGCATAACGGGGACATTAACCATTACAAACACAGCAGGGATGGGAGATACACAGCAGATTCCTGATGTCCCCCAAAGAAGATATCAGACAGGAGCAAGAAATCTGCATGCACTCTGACTACTGCTAGAGAGGCCATATACCAAGCAGAGAAGTGGAGCCATACCCAGAGAGGCACAAGGAAAGCTCAGCCTGGCTGTCAAAGTCACCTAGTAGCCCAGTGGGCAGCAGACTCTCTCCTTCCTGCTCTGGGCAGCCAGACCTGGGCCCTCAGCCTGCTGTAACCAGAATGAAGGAAACGTGAGCTGATGCTGAGCTTTTCCTGGTTCATTCGCTAGGTCTGAAGAGCTGCTGCATATTTCCTCATCTAAATGCAAAGATGCCAACTTCGGTTTGGCAGCTGATTCTTCAGAAGGAGGAGCTGTTTAATTAGCGCCTCTGCTCCCTCCGTGCTGACACTGCACCGCAGCAGCTGTCCTCTCACCCTGATCAGGAAATTTTGCATTTTAACCCCAGCTGGGAAGACAGATTTTATGAGTGTATTTGCCTTTCGAATCTGAGGACATGCCAGCTCTTGCTAGAGTGACATTCCTGTACAAGGGGAGCCTTCACACATGAGCCACAAGCACAGCTAAAGCCTTCAGACAGCCTCACAAGTAAACAAACTCATTTCTAGGGATAACTAATGAAAATGCGTTCCCAGAGCAGCACAGCTGCAAAGCTACTCCTGCCCTTCATCTTGATCTTGTGCTTGCCATCCAGCCATTAGCTGCTTGTTTTTGCTGGCAAGTAGAGGAGGATGAAATACAGCAACAAACCTTACTTTTCAATGAAATCAATACTTGAGTCAAAAGCGTAACTCTCTTTTTTCCCGAATGAATCACGGTTTCTTATCAATTTATCCCACATCATTCTGCTCAAGTTTTCCATACATAAATGTCACTTCAAATTCCTGATGTTCATAAGAACTGCTTCTGAAAGAAGAGCTGGAGTTAGAGGGAGTTTTTACAATGAATAAATTAAAGACAACTCAGACGTTTGCAAATTTGTTGCAATATTGGCAAGCTATTTTGAGGCAGAAATAAGTATATATATAGATATATTTTTAAAACCTATGTGTTTTTTTATTATTAAAAAAAAAAAAAAAATCAGTATTAATCTCTTTTGCACAGGCTCACAGACCTTGAAAAGGAAAGGAAGAAATTGTTGGCTTAGCTAAAAGAAAATCATTTGCAATTCACAGTGCTCCACCCTTCAGAGCCTCACTGACTTCCAGTCTTGCATCCTTTTAAATTGCTCAGCATTTCACTGACCCCTCATCCATATCACGAAGTTTTCAAACCATCCAGGTGGTGGGAAGCTGAGCCCCAGCTTCAGAAGCTCAGGATGCACTAACTTTACTGGGTAAAGTTCTTGGTGTACAGCCAAAACAATGCTTTCAGAAGGAGCTAAAGTGTACCCATTGCAAAAATGCTCTGGAAATAACAGGACAGGCGTATGTCCTGAATGCATTAGATGTACCGAACGTGCCTGCATTAGCTACAGGGCACTCATAGTCCACATGCACTCCAGCATGTAGATGGAGACTTTCCTGCTCTGGATGTTCTGGGAAGGAATATGACAGCTCTCCACAAACAAAATAGCCACGCGACACTTACCCTACAGCTTCACACACACAGGCTTCTGGTACACACCAAGCTAGCAGCAGACCTTGAAAACTTCATCCTGAATGTCCCAAGGGTCCATGGAGGAACATCTTCTGTGGACCGTCCCTGGCTTTTGAGCCTTTTGATCCTCTCAGGGTAAGGAAAGCGTGTGCAGTAGCTTATGAGGATCACAGCATCCTGAATCCTCTTCAAGCAGCCGCTTTTAACTATTCAAATAGCTCCATCAGGATGTAAATATTTTTCTTATTGCTTTTGTGGTACTTTGCTGTTTGCATCTGGCTCACCATGGCTCCACGCCTTCCCCTCCAGGACATTTGCCATTTGCTCTCGTTCTGAAGTGGGAGGAGGAAGAGAGATTTCTCAGGAGTTTAGGCACATTCCTCTCCTTCACCAGGCTTGTCCTTTGCCAGTTGTTTAGTCTCAGGCTGGGGTTAGAGCTCTGCAAAGTTTTATTGGGATCCAGGCTCTGGACCTGTCAGGGATTATCAAATAAATCTCCAAGAAAGTAAAGCCTCACTCTGTAAGTAGTTGTTCCAATGTTGAGCTTAAGCTCACAGCCAAAAACCTCTTGCTTTTCTTCCCCTGCACGGCCTCAGAAATCATAACAATTAGGTACTAATAGTTCAAAAGGACTTCAGAGAGCTCTGGGGAGGGTCAGTGCCAGTTGCTTGGGCTCTCATACCACTTGTCTCCACCAGGAGCCTCAGCCCCCATTGCTCCCCAAGGGGTTTGCTCCAGCCTACTTTCCTGAGCAGCATCAATGACTTCTTCATGCTTTCTAGCAAGCCAGAACATCTCCTCTGGCTGAACCCAACTTCTGCTTCTCCTTCCTGGCATAGAGATGGAGCCACAGTCTCCTCTTCTGCCCACAAATCTTTCAGATGTCTGCTTCCTTCAAGCCCTGGGCTTGTGGGGAGGTGTGTGATGGCACCTCAGCTGCAAAGCACGGTCCCCACACTCCCATAAGCCCCAAAGTGACAGAAGGGCTAGCCTTGAAATGCAAGGTTACCACTCTCCCATTGCACTAAATAGTGAGGGAAAGGCCAGTATATTTTTGTAGAAGAGCTGGAAAAAAACCATGTATCTCTGTTGAGAAAAGATCTATGATGCTACACGTATATCTATGGCCATGGATCCATCCATTATAGACATGAAGGAACATCAGCAAATACACACTCACCTGCATACTTGAGCAGTAAAAGTAAAGCTACTTTTTTAGATTTCTCTCTGCTAATCAGGACCCCAACACCCATTAATTGTTTTGCCTTGTTTGCAAAAAGAGGATGACGCAAAAAATTATCTACATTTTCTCCATGCACATAAACCAATCCTTGGCCTTTTTGTCTGAGCTACCCTTTTCCTCATTAGGATCTTCTCACTCAAAACCATAGTGACCAATCAACAAAGTAATCCAACACAGCTGCAGCCAGCCGACAAGCCCTACCTGTGCATTTTCTTTTACTCTGCTGTATTAGAAAACAGAGAATTATCACATTTTAAGACCAACAACGTCATTGATTGGCTTGTGATTTCTGAACATAAAAAGGAAATCCAAGATTTTAGTTGTAGGTTTAACAGCAAACAAGTAAACAATAACAAAGGAACTTCATAATTACCTTATTTATCTATGTCAGAATCCAACTTTTTTTTTTTTTTTTTTTTTTTTTACAGTTTTGAACAAGTTTGGAAACTTGTCCAACTCCTGTAAAGAATTCTGTGGCAAAGACGTGGTAGTCTGAACTTGTCCTCCCCTTTCTTGCTGTCACCAGGTAACACTGCTTTCAAAGCACAATGAGAATCCCATCATTTCAACCTACTTTTGTACTTAAATTGTAGTCAGTGACTCATCGGTTTGTCTGTTTGCATACATAGCTCTTTCTTTGCCTTTCATTTCAAAAAGCAAAGAATCTTAGCTACTAATACCAGCAGTAGTTCAACCCTCCATGGGAGCAGAAAGTCAATACAGTCATTGAAAGAGGAATGCCAGATTTTACCCTGCACAGCACATGTTTAATTAAACGTTTGCATCAAGTGGGCAAATACCATTTCACCAGTCATTAGCTACAGACAGACATTTATAATTCCTTGTTGTCACCATATATATTCAGGTTGATTGGAAGATATTATTGTAAGATTATCACATGCTTACCCATTGATGCAAGCAGATGTCTGTGAGCTCACCTAAAATGCCACAGAAGATCTGTTTCACTGCCAGATGCTGCTAAAGTTTCCACGCCAAGTTTCATTTTCATTGCCTATGACACTGAAGAACAGGTTTTTGCCTTTAGAACTTACCGTTTGACAGCAAATCATAGACATTCCTCAAACACTTCTCAGCCTTGGGAAGTGCAGTCCACAGGCTTTTCCTATCCGCCCTGTGGGGCACTGTTTGAAAAATAAAACTCTACCATAGCAGGTAAGATGAGAATATATTTATTAATTATAAAATATACAAGTGAACAACATTGGTTTGATACAATCCCATAAAAACAAGAGCAGTTGGGTGACAGCTGCTGGACTTGCCTGGCTGTGGTTACACCAACGATGCTAATCACAGGGTGCTGCAGCCCCTGCAGAGTTGTGCTCTGAGTGGTTCTGAGAAAAGGCATTATCTGAACATTGATACTCTTTCATCTTCAAGGGAACATAATGCTGTAGAGAAGCAGTTTTCTGATAACGAGCGTGATTAAGGACTTTAATCCAGGAGGGCTTGGCTCGTCCTTTATAGCCAAGCATAGCAAAACTCCCTGTAAAACAGACACAACGAGTGTAACCCCCTGGGTGGATCCGTTCACTTATTAGCAGTACAGCATGAACATCATTGGAACCTTTTTTTTTTTTTTTTTTCCCCTTGGATTAAAATAATGGAACACTGAAAAGGCAAAAAGAATGATGAAAGAGGGAACAGGGCTTCCAAAACTGTAACTTCACTGCGTCACAAATCTGCTGGTATTTCAATAAGCTAAGATGGGATCCCAGATGTGAGTTAGAGGGATGTTCTACTCTTTATTTTTTAACCATTGGTACTTTTTCATATTTGACTCCATGAAAATGGTTAGGCATTTTGAATCCTTCTTTTATTAGTTTACATCACTTTCTTCCTGTTATGCATAAACTGTTCCCCATGTCAGCTCTGCTCTTGTCCTCTGCTGTCCCAAAGTACAAAGGCATTATGTGTTCTTTGATTTTAATAATAATGTCTTGTGTTTATATTATGCTTTTCATTGCAAAGGCTCCCAAGGCTATTTGCAGATGGTTGGATCAAGACTATTCCCGTAAACACTTCTAATTTAAATAAGGTTTTGCAGAACCAGGCAACAAGACCCTAAATCCTGATCCCGTTGGGGTCAAGAGGATTGCTTTGTGCATTATCCCTGGCAGCAGCAATACGTATTTGGGAGAAATACTCCAGCCTGCCCTGAACCACAGCCCCCCAGCGCGGACCACGGCGGCGGCTGAACACAGCCCTGCATGCAGTCGCTTTTGGAGCTGTGAAGTGGAATAGTGCACATACCTGAAACAGCAGGAGAAAACTCATGAATCTGAACATAATTACCCAGACTGGAACTCAGGGCAGGCGTGCAGGTGAGCACCCTTGCCCTTAAGAAAAGTAAAACAGGGCAATGCGGCATCAGCCAACAATGGCTTAATCCCACTGCCAGCCACTAGCACAATGACCCCGACTTCCCAACTGAAGCAGCAGAGCAAGGAAATGGCCACCAAAAGGTGTGGTGGCCCAGGATGGGGACTTGCAATGGCCCTGTGTACTCCTTTGTGTGCTCCAGGAGCAGAGGACCCGAGCTCCCAAAAATGACCTGGAATGGCTGCATCCAAGCGAGCAGTGCAGGTGTTCCAGGGAACTAAGTTTGACAAAGCAAACAAAAAAGATTCCTTTTTAATCAAAAAATTCCTTTCAAAAGTATTCAGGGCTTTGATGAAAGAATGAAGCAATGAAGTTCCAGGACAAAGAAATCTCAAAAAAAAAAAAAACAAAAAGAAAACCTCAAATTTTTTGCTTTTGAAAGGATGAAAGATAAAACAGCTTCTCAGGAATCAAACAGGCACCAAAGTGAAGTACTGTCTCTGCTGTAAAGATTATGCCGTTCTCTTTCTGGAACAGTCACAGCAATAAGCTTTGAAAGTAAATTTCAATAAAGCAAAAGCAACAACAATAAAAAAAAAAAAAAAGAGGAGCTGAAAATACAACCAATTCTGCATCTGATTTCTGCTTAAGAGGTTGCAGGTGGAATCTGACTCAAGCTAGCTGGTTATTTTCCTGATTTCCTCATCACTTGAGTCATTTGTCCAAACCTGGACTTCAACAGTGCCCTGTTTTCCAATAGGAAACCCAGCACGATGAAGGCAATATGTGGCTGGCAGCTATGTGCACACTGAGCTTCCACAAGCAGTTCCCTCAAATCCATCAGAAACAGAATTCAGGCTGAAAGCTGTTCTGCCAGAAACGAGTGCTGCTTAAAGGCACTGCAGTGAGGAGGTGCCTACAAATGACTTACTATGAAGAGAACAGTCTTTGGAGTGGAATAGAGCATCAATCAGGATTTGGCCAGTGTCATCTGCAATGACTTTGCTACTCTCTTTCTCATTTCTTTGCAAATACAATGAAAATATTTCCAAATGAATGCTCTAAGGGTATAAAAATCTGTGATCCAAAATGACTTGGATTTTCAGGACCAATGATACTAATGGATTTTTTACAGCAATTCAAGGTAAAACTGTAAGTAAGAACTTCCCAAGTCTGGTGATTGACCTTTCTTTCATCCAAGAAAATAAAAAATATTTACCTTCTCTGTGGAAGACAATAGGCTTTGCCGAACCTAACCTTGTAAAAACAGACATTTCAGAGCTCCACACCTTGTCTCCAATATCTCTAGAGCACACAAGAACAAGTGATCTGAAAAGAAGGACAGTAATTACTGCACAACTGCAAAATATTACTCTTGTTAAGAATCTGAGAGACCAATTAAGAAAAGGACTTGGTTGCTTAACTTTAAGAACATGCTTAAATCCCTGTGATTTCAATCACATGTAAGCTTACATGTGATGCTGTGCAGTCCTGAGACTCTTCAGCCCTCTATGCACTGAAAAGCCTGCTTTTAAGTCAGGCGTTTGCCTGGCTGCAATCCTCACAGATGTGTTTTCAGTCCTCAGTGAATTGTACCTGCAATGAATTACAGGCACAACTGGTTGCATTTAGCTGAATAGCCAGCCTTGAAAAGTACACAAGAAAATCAATACAATGTACAGTCATCACGTGGATATTTGTCACTTTGTGCACGTTTTAGACATGTACATACTTGTGTTCAGAAGTAAAGATGGAATAACTCTGCAATGTTCTAATCTTTGGTCATGAGCTGCTCAGAAATGTCTTTGGACTGAAAGTCTGTTTTCTGGTTATTTGACCTGCTTCTGCCAGCAGCCAAGAATTTATCTATAAATCTCTGTTGTTCCATGTTTATGTGGCGACACATAAAACCACAAGGAATGTGGAACAGACACAAACAGAGATGATCCAGACCACTGCCAGGACACATTGAAGGTAACAGTCCACAGGCACGCAGGTCTATTCATCGGCTCGTCCAAAGAAAAGTCCTACTGGAAAATCTGGCACACCTACGATTTTCGTCTGTCAGAAGAGGTAAAAACAATCATTAAGGGTAAACAGAAACCAACCCATTTCAGAAATGGAAAACTGAATCATCAACTGCCAGGAAACTGCTGGACCTTGGGATGTGTACACAGGACTGCAAATGCCATTGCAAGGACCTTATCTATTCCATATTGGAAAAATAGATTATTAATTTAGAAGGAATTGACAGTTTTCTAGAAAATGTCTCTTTCTGCTCTAATCCGTGCAATCCTGAGAGAGAGACAGCCCTTCTCTTATTATCTGAGTGATATTCAGGATTTGTACGTATTCCAGTCTTTGCCAGATCCCTTCAGAGCACAGGTTCAGATATGAAAATTGCTCATTTTTCTTTCTTTGTCTATCAGCCACAGGCTTCTACATGAGCTGGGCTTTCAGCACTTTGCTTACCTCTCTTTTATTAATGTTTGAACATAGTCAGCTATTGAATTGGTCACATTTTCCTCAGCAACTGTGTCAAAGTGCCGCCTACTCACAACTGCTCCCGAACATGCATCTAGCACCACGAAGAACACCCCAGGGCTATTGAACAGGAGCGCCGTGTCATTTATCTGCAACAAAACACAAGCAGGTTTTATGGAGGCAGGCATTGAATGACTGGGGAGACAGATTTTGCTCCCGCTTTTCCATAAGAAGGGCATTACAAGCGAGGAAAATATCTAGTGTTTACAGCCTATAGTTTTCCATATGTAATTAGTGCAGATGAAGTGATATCACTGATAGACCATCGGGGAGGGAAGAAAAAAAGCCATTCATTCTAGCACTGGGAAGCCCATTGGGGTACCAAAAACATGAAAAATGAGGTCATCGGCATCTTTTGTGTGTTAAAAAAAAATACATTTGGGAAGCCAAAAATACTGGGAGTAAAATGCTTAGTTCAGCCTTAATACAGATTCTGCTCATGTGGGTGAAATTACTGTCACTTGGCATGGCAGATTTGACCAAAGAGCAGGAGAGAAGTGCTGAGACAGCAGATGGTGGGATAGAAGCCACACGTGGACATTTTTGCTCCCCTGGGAATGTCAGTATAGCAAGATCTCAAAAACAAACTCCTTCTTGGTAGTGCCATCCCTGGGCCTCGAGTGAGTTTAACGCCCCTCGCTTCCTGCAGCAGGGGCTCCTTCTGCAGTTTACAGCCACCAGGATGTGCCACAATCTCTGCTTTGGCAAGACAAAGGCTCTCAGAGATGTAACAGGGGTGAGGCAGAGTGAGGAGGAGGCATTTGTCAGCATTTAATATAACTCCATGGCACGTGAACCTAGGCAGCGTCCTTGCTGACATGATTTCAGTCGCACTTCTCCACCCAAGCAGAGGTGTAAAGCATGTGCAGGGATAACCTGACAGCTCCAACTCCTTCAGATGTGAAATGCAGTTATTTTTATCTTTTAGTGCAACACCAGAGAAAGTCAGAAAAACAAGCTTGTTTTTTTCCCTTCATCCTTTGTAAGCACTGCTTTCTGATGTGCTTTTCTCCCCACATCCTCTATGTTAGAGTAGTGGTGTTAATTCTTCTTCTTCTGTGATAAAAAGCCTTTTTTCTCCTTTAGGGCTCAAATCCTCATCTGAATAGAATACAAACTCCCAGTGACTCGAATGGAGCTAATTGTAAAGGAGAACAATGCACTCCTGCCTTCCAGGGGAACTTCCCATTTCCTTCTGCCAAAGTTCAGCAAAGTTTTGCAATAACTTACCTTGGAGATAAAGTTTCTCCCTGTTTAATCACCATTTCAAATGTAGCAAAGCACATACCTTAATGAATGCAGATGTCAAGTGGTTCTGTATGTCTGCCTTGCTGAGGGACTGGATCTGGATTCTTACATACTTGACTGAGGGCGTGCTGGTGATAGCAAGCTGCAATTAGACGGAGACAGAGCCTCAAAAAACTGGTTGGCTAACTGGTTTTCATCAGCAGAATTACACCAAGCACCAATGCTCATATATACAGTTGGAAAGCTTGAAGAATATATAGTTTTTCAAACTATGACCCTGATTCACAAGTGCTTGCTGTTAAGACATTTGTTAAGACATTAATGTTAAGACGTTACCAAAGAATTGTGGCAATGGAGGTTGGAAGGGACCTCTGATGGTCACTCTTCTTCTGAATAAGAAGTTGAATGTGAGTTTCATATATATTCTGCCTGATTATAACCAAGGTGCGGATTTGTATGAGCCTGAAACAATACTACAGGATTTTCAGAATTGTAAATGAAAAGAAACCCTAGGTCTGATTTTCCAATTATTCTTATTAACCAGAATTACTTCCCAGTCTGAAATTCAACAGCGATACTGCACTTTGGAATTCAAAGCTAATCCAGTCTGAGCTCTTTCAAGTGTTCTTTTATGCTTGCTTGAAAGAAAAAAAAAAAAAAGGAAAAAAAAAGGGGGTGGGAAAAAAGATGCTGTGACTGTGCATTCACATGCTTCCAGTTGGGCGATTTCTTTGAGGTTATCTTTGAAGCATAGTACAGAAAACTGCAGAAATTTAGTGTAAAACCCTTCCCCCCACATGTTACACAGTGCTGGCCAGATTCACAAGTGGCTGTTCCCTACTGATGCATACGTGCTGCATGACCTCAGAAGCTACATATGGCTGTAGGAGGGGGGTGCTCTTACCTGTGGGGCCCCACAAGCCCTGCATGGCACCGCCTGGTGCTGGGACACGGGGCGCTGCGGGGCAGCTGGCCTCTGCAAAAAGGGGTTGGGGGCACAGCTCCAGGACCCCCCCGGGTACATCTGCGCCATGATTTTGATACGTTCACAGCCTTGCTGGGAGCAGTAACTGTGCCCTTGCCGAGCTTCGTGGGCTTGCAGGTGGACAAATAGGTACCTACAAATGAGAGCAAACAGACTGATCAGAGTCATGAAGTGTTTAGGGGAAAAGCTGAAGAGAGGGAGGGTCTTTGCGTGCTAAATTGTATTATCTCTCCCATTTTGCAACACCACTGAAGAACCCTTAGAGTGGTGTAATACAGCACACCTGCAACTTGTACATTCAAAACCGGTCTGCAAGGACACAAGTAGAGCCTCCCTCTCAACCCAGCATGATGAGACCTGCAGCACTGTCAGCCCGTACACCCAAGCCAACTTCCTTCACTGGGCAAGCATTGTGGAGTGTGCATCACCTCCAGCACCAGGCACAGCTGCATCCTGCTAGATGCTCATGCTATTTTGTGCAGAAGGAAACGGGCTTGCTTAGAAATACTGGCATCGTCCCCTTTGGCTCCTGCATCTCACAGCCCTGGCCTGCAGGCTTAGCCCTAGGCATGCATGACAAAACTTCCAAGGCAGCCAGATCTTCTGGCCCTTGGAGTTCATTTTTTCCTAGCCGTTCAAGTGTGTTTTCAATTGCATCCATTCTGCAATTCAGGCAGAGGAAATTACATAAACAGCTCAGCTAAGCTTCAGGATCAAAAAGATGCATGAGCTGTAAAGGTTTTTTTGTTTTGTTTTTGTTTTTTTTCTATTTCTTTAAAAACTAAATATTTGTTTCTATTTGTCTGGAAGAAAGAATGAGTAAGCTTGGTCCCTTTCCAAGGATCCAGCATGTGGGGTTAAAAAAAGAAGGGGAAACATCCCACTCATTATGAAATAAAGTCTACAAAACAACAACAGGAAAAGAAAAAAGCCAGTCCCCTAACTTTTGTACTCTGAGAGGCTAAAAATAGCACTGCTGAATTAAACGGAATGAAAAGGCTGATACTGCCAGAATTAAGTTGGGTTATGCCCATCAATATGCATCTACCAGGTCCAGACAGCTGCTGGCAGCTGGCAATAGTTAATCCCTCCTATCCATAAGAGGAGAGGAGAGGAGAGGAGAGGAGAGGAGAGGAGAGGAGAGGAGAGGAGAGGAGAGGAGAAAAAGAAAAGGAAAAGAAAAGGAAAAGAAAAGGAAAAGAAAAAAAAAAAAGGAAAAGGAAAAGAATAAGAAAAGAATAAGAAAAGAAAAGGGGGATTAACTAGCAAACTGTTATTTCACAGTGCCTATCGTAAAAGAGACCTGGCTATCACCAAGAAGCCTGGTTAGCAGGGAAGGCATTCTGGGATTTGATTGCTCATGTGTTATGGTTGAAAGAATAAATATATCACATCTTATTTTCAAGTTTGGCATTTGTGGATTGATTTCTGAAGTAGCTGCTTAGTCAGGTGAAACATCATGGCTAGACCACAGAACAATTTTTTCCTTCCCAACTGCTTTAGCAAACAGGGAAACGTGGTTTCGTAAGATGTTTATTTAAGCAAAGGTGTTCTGGATTCCTCTAAAGGCAGTGCATGACCTCTAGGACTCTCTTCATGCCTTCAAAATAAGAGATGCACTATGGCCAACCTTTTCTCATGGGAATATGAAGAAGTTGAAATTTCCCAAACTATCTTGCTGCTTGGTGCTTGGCTGAAGTAAGCCTAATCTAAGTTACACCATCCCATAACTCTGCTTCAACCTGAAATCAGTGAAAAGACCATGCAAGATGAATGAGACTGAACTTTAACTATGAGTTAGGGAAAGGAAGAAGCAGGACCGGAATGAGAAGAACCCCAGAGGTTTGCTGCCTGTTCTCTGGGGTTCTCTCATGGGCTCACCCTGATGCTCTGTCAAAGTAGAAGAGCTGCTCGCCGGTCCCATTGAGAACACTGTCACGGGAAGGAGCCATGAGGTAATGCTTTATGCTGTGCACCATCCCTGTCCGTCGCTGGTAGATATCTTTCACCACGTGGAAGACGGTGTTCCTGGGATAGCAGAGGGCAACGTGCAGCCAGTCTCCTCTGTGGTCAAAAAGGAGGAAAGAGAGAAAATGCGCCTAAGGGCTTGAATACAGGAGAGGTGATTTCCAGCCAAGAACACAATCTTCAGGGGAAAACAAATGTCTTTTGAGGTTTTCTTCCTCCTTTCACCAGAAAAAATTACACCCAAATCCTCTGTGCCAAAGAAAATCAGTTTTTTTTTTTCCTTTGTCTGGAAACAACGGCTGTTTATACAAAGGTCTGATCCAGACACCCAAGTTGACCTCAAAGGACTTTGAGTCAGGTGCCAGGACGGCAAAAAAGAAGAGATTTTCTCTTCCTTGCTCATAGGACTGAGGCACAACCAGTCACATACCTGCTCACATCTCCAGAGGCCGCCAGGGCTCAGTTTAGTTCATCTGGAGCTGCTGCAGAAGAGGGAACCAGCACTGAGCAGACGTTTCACTGGGGGCACCGGTTCAGGAATTAGAAAGTAATCTCTGACTTGAACCAGAGCCATAGCCTTAAGAGATCTGCTTCCTCCACTTTACGGCAAAGTTTATGATCAGGGTCTCCATTAAAATCTCCCTCTCCCCTGCTCTTTCTTCAGCATCAGTTTAAAATAACTAAGGGTAAAGTTAAATGGTCTTTTAAAACTTGGCCACCACAGTCTTAGCATGCATATTTGCAAATAATTGCCCCCATGGCTTTCCTTTATGCTGTGACCTTCGTTGCCACCTCACAGAGAGAAACTCTGCCTCAAAACTCCATTGTTTTTTCTTTCTGCTTGGAGGCAAAAGATGCAGTCACAGCACAGTTCAGATGCTGATGGCTGCAATCTTTCACAAAACCAAAGACCCTTCCTGACTGTAGGGTGCACTGGTACCGGGAAAAGCAGAAAGTCACAAGATGTTTACACTTGAAAAGAAAAACTGAATAACAAGACTATTTGTGTAATTATTTTTCTTCCCTCTCCAGCCTCTGAAGTGGCTCAGTGCGCCGCATGCAGGTACCTGACCAATTACTGTGGTTTGCTTTCCTTCTATTTCCAAAACCACCAAGGCTGTAAATGTAATTACCTGGCTTCCTGGTTAAAATGTGAAAATACTAATTTGGCCTGAAGACAGACAGTGGCCACCATCATCAGCTGCCTTTCAGGGCCCTGTGAAGCTGAGAAAGGCAAAGTTTCTCTGCTAAGATGATCTGCCACCCATCCTGGTCTGCAGAGCACTAAGGAGTGCAAACAACAAAATCTGGGAGCCTGCATTCCGAGACTTTTACTTTGCACTATATAATAGCAAAGCCTCTTCAGACATTTTCTGGTTTTCTCGTTAGAGCAGAACAAAACTACAGTACTGAAGAGGGGACAGGCTGTTCTAGAATAATAAATCAAAGCCATACACAAAGACCCATCAGCTTATGCCAGATACTGCCCTCTAGATTTTAACCAACTCCAGCTGTGTCATAACATAGGACAGCTAGAAAATGGATATATTTTCAGATGATTTGGCCTTTGACTAGAGGAAATGAAAGAAATGCACCAGAGCCATGTTAGTGGGATATTTCTGGGACGGAGTCCCAAGACATTTGGCTGTTTCATAAGGGTAATTTGCATTGCATTAGCACATTTCATCCCCTGAAGACACCACCAAAAAATGGCCTTGTCATCTCCTTCAGATGTTGGGAACCAGCCTTGGTGCCATGTTGTGCTGACTGCCACCTCCCCAGGGAACAGGAAAGGCGCAAGGAAAGGAAGTTGGAGTTGGTGGGAAAAAAAAAAAGAAAATCATGAAAAAAACACAGCTGTGACTGTCTTGAGTCACCAGGGCACTTGGGAATCTGAGTGCAATGAGAGCCTATTGTGCACATGAGCAGGCTGAGCCAAACTCTGAAATAAACTGTATCATGATTGAGAAGATCAAATGGAAGGCACCTCCCTGAGAGTTTGTGAGAGAAGAGAAGGAAATAAGTACATTCCCACAACAAAGGTCTTGGGAAGAGATGCAAAAAGGAAAGATTTTTAAAGTTATCCTTTAAGTAAATGTTGGAAAGAATAAGGTGTTTATTTTCTATTTAATTTCACGGTATTTTAACAGCTTCCTATTTAGTTCTTTGCTTTGGTTTTGGCTCTTCAGCTTGTACAGAAGCTGCTGTAAACTCTCCCAAACGCCTGCTTGTACAGCTGTGCACAGCGAAAGCAAAGCACAGAGCATTGCTGTGGGACGCCCTCAGGACATGGGTGAAATGTCTTTTCTGCATTGCCAAAAGTGAATGAGAAATGCAACCTCAGGCTAGAAGAGGCAATCAGGCATGAGATGTCTTGGACATTGCACTCCAAGGAAAGCAGATATGCATGTGCCTCCCTCGGCCACAGCACTGGCCACAAAGACCTCCTGGCTGGGTCTCCAGTGCAGGAAGCCTGTCTCTTTTTCAGGGTGGTCAATGAATAATGATTCCTTCTTTATTTCTCTGCTTCAAACTCTCCATTCTGTCGTGTTTTCTCACCTCTGCTCTGAGGTGAAGATTGGCAGGCAGAATCAGAAACATTTGAGCTAGTAATATCCTGTAGGGCAGAAGCCCTTGTTCAGCTCAGTGGTTGCCTGCTCATCAGCTGGGACCTTTGCAGGTGTCCTGAGGACACGCTCTGCACTAGCAAGAAGAAATGCCTGTTTGGGAAAGGGCATTTCCACATGCACAAAGACCAGCAGAAAAAAGTCACTTAAAATTTCAGGGACAGAAGTCATACTACTGATACAGAAAATACTGTCTGATGTAGCTACGCATTGGAGTTTTCTTCTACTTTCATTCTTATGGGAATCTTGCAAGAAAAACAAATAAAAATACACTCATATGGAAAGTCTGACTTTGAAAGTAGCTATCAGCATAAATGAAAGGCAGATAGACACGTGTAGGAAACTAACTTGAGATATTTAAGATGCTTTCATCGCAAAACTATGCAAGCATATTCATAATTTTTTTAGTGATAAACTTCAGTTCATTTTAAAAGTAAGGAACAGTATTTTTTTTTTTTCATTCCTGTTTTTAATCAAGCCAGTATTTTCCTGTTGTTTTTACAAAAAAAAAAAACAAAAACAAAAACACCCACACTAGACCTTTAAAAGGGGAAAGCTGAATATGCAGTAGCAAAGCATCCTTAGCAGGTTCTAACAGTTTCAAATGCTACTTGGAAGGTTTCCGAGCATATACCAAGATCTATCAAACTCAGCACTTCTGCCCCTCTGTTACTGTCCTTCAATGATCCCCACAGCACATTTCACGTGAGTTTATGAATATATCTATCCTGTTTACTTCCTTTTGGAAATGGCTGGGTAGAACTAACCCGAGAAGCCATTTTCTTTTCACCTGAATTTTGCTGTTTTGTAGTTCTGGTTCTTTCAAGTAGACTGCAAACATCAGGCAAAGTGTTAGAAAGTGTCTGTGTGCTTTGGCATTGGGCAGGCTTATCGGATAAGTGAAAGCAAAAAGGATGAGGGAAAACAGCAGGCAAGAGGTTTCCTGTTCTTGGACGTATGGTCAATACAGATCCCCATGTACACACATACATACCTCTGTTACAACCTCAGAACAACCCTCACAATTAAATCCCAAACTCCCACTCAGGGAAACAAGATTGAACAGGCAAAGGAGGAGAGACTTCTGCGAGTGGTGGGATGTGAGTCACACAAGTTTGAGATGAGATTTGGCTGCATTAAACATTGAAAGAGCACATGTCTGCAACTCTCACTGCCTGGGAGAGGACAAACGAACACTTGTTCACTAGTGACCATGTCTCGCGACTGTATCAGATGGAGTATATGGGAGTATATGGAGCATATGGGTAGGATCTAGTGCTGGGGTTGGAGGTTATGCTGTACATCATTCCTGGCTGTATTTTGGCTCAGGGAACCCCTAAGTTGATGAATATTATTCTGAAAAACGGCTCCACCATGTCTATTGGCGTGGTGTGTCACGTAACTGATGACCATGGACGTGCACAGTCCAAATCCTGATCTCACTGATGAAAATCTGGTGTAAGCCAATGAGGGCATGCAATAGAGTACAACTGAAAATTACTTATTTTTTCCTCAGGCATGAAAAAACAAGAGACTTCCATCCAGTGATTCAGCCTCCCCCAACTGTTATTACTACTATTTAAAACAAACCCTCTGACATTTTGGTCAGCTCTACATGCACTGAGAAAAATGGGAGTTCAAAATTTTCCTGTTCATAATATGGGAGCCCAGCAAAAAATTCTCACAGGCTGCTTCTGCACATTTGCCTCTCACAGGATGAATTTCGAACTTCAGAAAGCAAAACCAGCAAAGCCACCACCACAGTCTCCAACGCTCCTCAAGAACAAATAACAGAAGATCTGTGTTCCTTCATCTCAGTCATAATACTGATGTTTTTCCTCTCAACCTCACAACAGCCTGCCCAGCACCCAGATGAATCTCCTCAACACAAAATCCATATACAGGACAACCACCTCCTAAACCAGCATCATGGGTGAGGAAAATGGACTTAGAAATACCCATGGAACTGTAGCCTGGCTTGCTGCAGCCATATGAGGACTTGTTAGTGCTAGACTGCTCTTGTTCATTCAGTGAAACTATCAGCTCTCCTTGTTAATCCAGTCCACACAAAAACCATAGAGAACAGAAAACAGCAAGGGCTGCTGAAGGGAGGCAAAGACAGGGCTTTAGGATCACTTACACATGGCAATGCCAGCACCCAATTTGGCCTGGCCATACTGAAATGGTTCAATCTGCAACCCAGTGTTTTGGCAAATGTTTCAGCCTCTTTCTAGTTGTTTTTTTCTAAGTCTAAAGGCTTTCACCCACTTGTTGGCCTGTGGGTATTTTAAGCGATTGAAACAGACAGAAGGGAATTCAACTGATTTCTGCGTCGTGTGGATGATTAACTCTGAATTACAGATGTTATCAGGAGGAACAAGCTATGAAACCCAAGCAGCACTTTACTTATTATTATTGGAAATAGTGCTGGTGTTACTTATAATACATCTGGATCTGAGAGATCAAGGT